ACATGGAGGCAGTTCTTGGACCTTCTATCTTCAGTCTCCGTCGCTGGGGCACTGATTAGGGTAGACAGTAATGCTGAGTTTATTAACGCTTAACAGGAATTGTATTTTGGTTTATGGTTAGTCGTGCTTATCTCTCCCCCCCCCACAACAATCAGTATTTGCCCACTATGCAGTTTCATATTAAATTTTGATACTTGTAACAGTTTAATTATGCCCCAAAAGAGGGTGCAGAACAGCTGAATTTAGTAGCTAATTTTTGGCCACTTTCGATCAATCGTATTTCGTCACTGCAAGGTCAGAAAACGTTTTATTCCAAGAGTTCTGCTATTTATGTGCATTTTGAATCTCTTCATAGGGATACAACTTGACATGATATGCACTTCCGTTCCTGAAAACGGTCTCGTTTTCCCCCACACAACCTTTTCACACGGTGAGAAAGTATTGCAGTAGATGTGAATTAGCATAGGAAGTCCGTAAAATCTCCTTAATCAGATATTATTATTCAGAACTGGCATACCTACTCTAAGTGGTGACTTTCAAGACGACGCACCCGAGTCTGTGTAAGGGGTACTCTTTTTCTATGATTTTTCTCGGAAATTTGGTGTATTTTGTATGCTCACCTAAAGGCACTAATAAAATGCACGCCTCGTGGGCGGTGATTGTTTTCTGAGTGTAATAAGCACATGTGGCTGAACAGCTAAATAGAAAGGTCCAGCAGACTGTCGTCATCTAAGAATCGGCTTGCGGTCGCACACCAGCCGTTCTTCAGTGAGATTTTTTTGTTTCAAAACAAACAACTAATCCGCGCCGGGTATTCGACGATCTGAGCTACTGAGGCCTATCCTTCGGTTATCGGTAGTCCCTTGTTCCTCATCCACGGGACAAGCCTATCGATTGAAATTCGTGCATTTTAATTTTTTACAAATTGCTATTTACTGAAGATCAATACTATATATTTATGGGGGTTTCGTGACTACTGTTCTGCAGATAGACGTCAGTAAAAGATGTTTTGTCTGATGCATGTTGGATTGTGAATATAGGCAATTTGGTAGGGGGTTGAGAAGGCGGCTGCACTGACAAGACCCAAGCTGTTGGTCTCTGTGATACAGAAAGCGTTGTAGTACGGACGTTTTATGCCTGGG